GGACCTGTTGGGCTTGGCAGGTAACTTCATCATCATCATCATCACAACGCTGGACCCAAAGCTCCAGTCTCCAATGTATTACTTCCTGAAGCACCTTTCCCTTCTCGACCTCTCCTCCCTCTCTGTCACTGTCCCCCAGTCTATTCACAATTCCCTGACTGGCAGTGGATACATCTCCTATGTGCAGTGTGTGCTGCAGGTTTTCTTCTTCATATCCTCAGGCTGGGCTGAGTTCACTATTCTCACAGTGATGTCCTATGACCGCTATGTGGCCATCTGCCTCCCACTGCACTATGAGGTCATCATGAATCCCAGAAAGTGCAGGTGGGCTGTGACAATTGTGTGGATAAGTGGAGGAATCCCAGGAATCTTGTACACAGCAACCACATTCTCTATTAGATTCTGCAGGGCCAAAATAATCCACCAGTTCTTCTGTGATGTCCAGCAGTTGCTCAAGCTCTCCTGTTCAAATGATTACCTTGGAGCTGTTGGAGCAATTGTTTTCGTGGATGTGGTGGTAACTGCCTGTTTCGCAGCCATTTGCCTTTCCTATGTCCGGATATTCTCCACAGTCCTCAGGATGCCCTCTACAGAAGGTCGGTCTAAGGTCTTTTCCACCCGCCTGCCCCACCTCTGTGTAGTCTCATTTTATGTCTCCACTGGTATTTTTGCATATCTCAAGCCAACTTCAGACTCTCCAACTGCTTTAGACCTCATAATCTCTATGTTTTACACAGTACTACCCCCAACACTCAACCCTGTAATCTACAGTCTAAGAAATGAGGCCATGAAAACAGCAGCAAGAAAGTTACTGTTAAGTGACAGACTCCTAGGAGGAATATAATATTTTTTCTTGTGGTTCATAGCTTTCAAAATTATATAGAAGACATTCTAGGAATATGGATTGTCAATATATTTTATTAGTTATATTCAGTAATCTGTTCTGTAAACCGTGTCTATGTCCATTGTCATTACAGAAATTCCTCCTCTGAATTCTCTAACACAGGCACTGAAAACATTTCTGTTCTTTCATGTTAAAGGAAAATGCACAATTATAACCTAGTAGTATAAGCCCATCACTTTCAAATGCTGAGAATGCATACACAGACACATAAGTGAACACATCAAAATCATAGCACATTAAGAACATGTGCAATCTAACAACAATAACAAATGGTTCATAGCACATTAAGAACATGTGCATGTGCAATCTAACAACAATAACGAATGGTGACATCATGTATTTATAATTCCAATCACCAAACAGTTGATGGTCACTTCAATCATTTAATTTCAAATGCCCGTTTCAAATTTGGTGTCTGTCCATGGAAATTTTATGTACTACAACACACCCATATGCCATTACTGTTTATACTTACATTTTAAGTGTAATCATTCTACAAACTGCATATTATTCAACATAATTCACATGAAATGCATTCAAATTTCAGCTATTTTACATTTATTGATTTTTAATTGTTGGGACAGGAATGAATTGATTTTATGTTCTTAATAATTCCAAAGAATTATGTATATAAATCACATATTATAAAACTTGTACTGCCTTGCCGGTTTGTCCAAATTAATTTACAAAAAATACTAAAACATTGGATATGACCATTAGCAATGAAGGACTCTGTGGTCTCTATGAAGCCCCAATTGTGCTATTAGTTCTTCCAACAAATGTGGAAAGATTGGATACTCTCAGTGCCTAAGAAACAGAAACATATGCAACAGAATGTCTGGAGAATTTCTGTTAAAAGTCTTATTTTAAAATCTGGGCTTTGTGGCATATGCCCTTAACCCTGGGAGGCAGAGGAATGTGGATTTCTTCTAGGTCAAGACCAGTTTGGTACATTGTGAACTCTAGTCTGTTTTGTGCTACAGGAAATCCTGTCTACATGAATAAGAAATAGTGTTTCACATTTCCTAATTTTTATTGAAGTGTGAGAGTTCAAGTTACTGAACACAACCATAATATACAATCATTTATTTTCCCATATTTTCATTTAATTCTACATTTTAACTTTTGAATTTAATTAAAAGCTTTGTAGTTATAATTCGATGGTTCATGTCTGCAAAAATAAAAAACGTTCTCAGTCCATGTTTACTTCAAAATTTCAAGCCATGTGTTTCACTATAAATTTTACTTTAAGTCGATTATGAGTTCCTGTGGCAAAAAAAATCTATTTTAACACATATCCTTCAATAATTTTCATCATTTTTTCTACTTAACATATTAGATATTTTATTTACTTGCAATGATTCATAAATTCTGCTGTATCTTTTGAGTTCTAAACCAATGAAATACCTTAATGTGATTGCTGAAATATTATTCTACTAGTCTATTAA